GATATGGGTCAGATGGGTCAAAAAAATCGGATTTGTCTCGTTCAGACTGTCATAAAAAATCAGATATGGGTCAGATGGGTCAAAAAAATCGGATTTGTCTCGTTCAGACTGTCATAAAAAATCAGATATGGGTCAGATGGGTCAAAAAAATCGGATTTGTCTCGTTCAGACTGTCATAAAAAATCAGATATGGGTCAGATGGGTCAAAAAAATCGGATTTGGGTCGGATTTGCCTGCAGTGTGAACGTAGCCATRTGTCCCCTTTAAGGCCCTGTCACACTATGACGTTTTAGAAAACTTGCCAACATCTGCAAATTTTGTCCTACACATTGGCACACGCTGAGAAAGAGAAAAAAACAAATATGTAGCCTCTCTCAGACATGATCATGCCGTGTTACTAATGACTTGAACAAATATGATACCTTTGAGTAAACTGTCCCTGTCTTAAACATAACATGTACAAGCTTATTATAGCTATGTGTTATTAAAACACTTAAAAAATCAAACAAAAACCTGAATCTATCTCTAACACAATTTAAAAATACAAAATAATATTATGCATTTTCACTCTCTGAAATATTATCTTCTCAGGTTGATGAAACAGAAATAAACTCTTGTTGTGTGACTGTATCTTTACCTTCTGTATGCCCACAGACTGCCTGATGCTGAGCTTCCTTATCCTTTGGAAGGTGTCCAAGTCCCACAGCTGCGCTGTGTCTGATGATGTACTGATGGCGTATCGGCCGGAGCTGTGCACTGAGATGGATGAGACTGCTCCCTCATGACCTCGCATCCAACTGACCAGTTGTTTTGTGTCTATTGAACAAAAAACCCAGTTAAAAAAAAAAACAAACCAGAACAAAACAATCTATACAATCTAATGAAAATATGCTGAGTTTTGATAACACTGTGAGTGTGTTGAGGATTACTCTTGGCTACTGCCACACCATCTGTGGCAACCATCTTACACTGAACAAAAATATAAACGTAGCACTTTTGTATCTGCTCCTATTTTTCATGCGCTGAACTCAAAGATCTAATGCTAGGTTCAGACAGAATGTGTTTTGAAGCGGTAGGTGCGGTTTGAGCGTTTGACGTGTGTGCGGTGCGTCCAAAGCAGCCAATGCTGGATTTGAAAAATCTTTGCAGCTTGATGCAGCGATTCAACCAATCAGAGAGACTCAACTGTGTGACACAGCAGTACATTTTCCGACGGGACAGTTTCCTGAATGATGTCCACTAACCTGAGACAGATGGACAGGAACTATTCAGCTGAAATCGACTGACCGTAGTTTGTGTCCTGGCAGGAGATGTAGGCTCTGATGTGGGTCAGCGGCTCGTCAAACTGACCACGGTGACAAACTGGACTCGGGACAAGAATAGAGCTGAAAGTGAGCCTCGTGAGCTCCTGGGTGGTGAAACTCACCAAACTCAGGAGGACGTCTCTGAATTATCTGGTGAATTAATTATGAATGAATTATCTGGTGAGCGTGACATGCTCTTGCTTTCAGTAAATAAAGCAAAGCCACTTTCTTTATTTTATCCGCCATTAAACAGAGACCGGAAGACGAAAACGACAAGAAGCTCTTCCCAACGCGTGCCAAGCAATTTTGAGGAGCTCCTGACCTTAAGCCTAGGGCACACCTGTGCAATATTCATGCTGTCTAATCAGGACCTCGATATGCCACACCTGTGTAAGGGATGGATTATCTCTGCCAAGCAGAAGTACCATCCAACACAGATTTACACACATTTTTGAACATTATTTAAAGGAAGAAGGCCTTTTTGTACGTAGAAAAAGTCTTAGATCTTTAAGTTCAGTTCAGTGTTGCGTTTATATTTTTGTTCTGTGTAGTAAAGTTGACAGGTTTCCTGTCCCTTTATTTTGATGGTCACAGTGGAAAAGGGGTGTGGTCAAAAAGTTGTCCCCAGGGGTCAGTGAGACCCAACTTTTTTCTGTTAACTTTAGGGCTGTGTATTGGCAAGAATTTGGCGATACGATACATATCATGACAGAGGAGTCACGATACGATATATCCTGATA